CCGCGCACGCACGACTCAGGGGTCCGCGCACGCACGACTCAGCGGTCTGCGCACGCACATCAGGTGGCGGGCACCCTCTGCTTCAGCACCCCTTCGCGGGTCGGTGACACTGCGCAGGGAGGGGAAAGCTGAGCGGAGCTGCAGGCTTCGCTAACAGGCCACCGTCCTAGTATCAAGGGACACAGCCCCAGGAGCTCTGCCCCCCATCTCTTCCCACGGGCCGCCCCACCCGCGGAGCACATGGAGGCCCCCCCGCCCCGGCTGGGTCCTCCCGGACCGCCCCGGCTGTCGGCGCATCCCGCGGATGGACGGAAGGGAAGCGGGTCATCACCCTACTCTAAACGCAAAGGCGGAGAGCCAGGGGTTCCTTGAATGCCTCTGTTTGAAAATTTACTTATTTATTTACTTATTTTTTAAAAAATCGGAATCGAGGGCGGTGTTTTCCATAAAAACTATTTGCCCCCTAAACTTTCCCCGTCGTGCGTCACTAAAGCAGGTCCGAGGTGGTCAAGGGCGGGGCCGGCTGGCTCGTGTTGCCGTTTCTATAGGAAAACGCCCCCGCAGAAATCAAGCCCGGTTTCGGGTTTAGATCTCGGGTTTAGATCGAGCCCCTCCTGACTGCCATCCTGCCCTCCCGGAGGGGAGTGAGCGTCGCTGGGGTATGTAAACGGCCGTCACTCCGCCCGTCCTCCTCCGGCAAACAGAAGCCTTCTGGCAACTCCTGGGTGAACCTCGGCTCCGGGCGCCTGGTGCCCGCACGCAGGGAGCTCCAGCTCCAGGAGGAACCTCGCTGCGAAGTCCTTCGGGCGTGGCCGGCGTGCTAAGTGGGGCGCGTGTGCCGCTCCGCCGTGGCCTTGCTTGTGCCGAATGGGTAATGAGCCGCCCGTTTGTGGGGAGGGAGATGTTGAGCGTGTCTGTGGGAGGCGAGGCTGGGAGTTACCGTGGCAACAAAATGAACGGGTTGTTTCCTGATTCCTGAATTAGCATATACCTTAAAATACAGCCATGGCCACTAAATGCAACTTATTAATTACCAGTCAGCCAGCAACCGGCCTTTCCCCGGCTGGTCTGATCCCCCAGGCGGTGCTAAGTGGCCTCCGCCTCACGTGGCCTTCCCTGCCTCGGGGAGAAGGGGTCAAGTCGCAGAGTGCTCCTTTTACAGATGAGGACGCCGAGGCCGGCAGAGACAAGTTTACTGGATGAAGGTAGGGGTGTGGACACCGCCCAAAAGGCCAGCGCTCCCCCCCCCCAGTGCCCTGGAGCGTTAATACGGTAGCTCGCAAACCAGGAACAGTCACCCTGACCTTCATCGTGAGCCAGACTCCGTAACCACGTTCTCTCACGGGGCCCCTCGCTCCCCACTGTCAGGATTGTCTCCGTCTGTGTTCCTCTCTCCGAAGGAAGGGATTTCCCGTTTCCTTTGACTATTACAGACCCGGCTGAAGGGGTCCGGATGGCATTGGGTTTGTAGCTTCTTATCCTTTCCCTCCTTTGCATTTAGTCAGATGCTGGCCTCGGGTCGTGGAGATTCTCCTTGTAGGTCCAGCAGCAGGGAGTCTAGCCCCAGGCCCATCTGTCAGTAAATACCTTTTTAACGGAGTATAATTGGGCTCCCACATTCTCAGAAGTCGTCTCGCAAACAGGAAGACGGGTTTCTGAACACGACTGCTAATTTGGGACATTTCATCGCGCCCCCCCCAATCCTGGCAAACCCCGCGGCCGGTCAGGTTTTGCCACTCCCCGGGACGCCCCGAAGTGCTGGGTGGCGTCCCGAGTTGCTGATAGAGGTTCTGTGACCGTTGTCCGGAAGTCTTGGGCTGGGACCCTCATGCAAGGTCGCTGTTACCGGCACGGGCTTCAGTGTCCCCCTTGGCTACCCAGAGCCGGGCTGTCCTGTCTCCTGGTGGCCCTGGCAGATCCAGGGAGGTCTCGTATGTGGAGCACAGAGCCCCGGTCTGTGGAAGATGTTTCCTCGTGTTAGTCGTGCCTGAGAGAGGCAGGGTCCCTGCGGACAGTGGCAGCCAGTGTCCCCGTGTAGCTTTGGCTGGGATCAGACGCAGAAAGAGAAGCCACGGGTGGGGGCTTCGGTGCAAGGACAGCTGGCCAGGTCCGCCCCTCTCCCCGTGTCCACAGGTTAGACGGCGGTCCGTCCCCCTCTCCCCTCCTGCCCCTCTGTGGGCGAAGACGCCAGGATGCCCTGCCAACAAGGCTTAAGCCTCGGAGTCCTCTTGGGGAATGTTTCCAGAGGCGGCAGCACATTCTTCTGGAGACGCTCAAATATTCGTCCTTTAGGGTAGAGTCCCTTCTTATAAACAACCCGAGATCCCTCGGATGCCAAGCTCGGCACTGCACTGTTTCTGAGCGAAGCAGTACCGTTTTTACGGAGAAAACAAGGCATTAGCGTTTATGAGACGGGGTTTGTGAGGCTCTTTGGAGGCGACGCTGAGGGGATCTCGCCAAGAAGACCGCAGAGTGGGTGGCCGAGGGTTGGGCGTCCAGGCTTTCCGAGGAGACGCTCCGTTGGACCTGTCAGCTTCCGGCCTTTTGATTGTTTTTAAGAATCCTCTCTCACAACTGCGAATCTTTCAGAAAGATGAGTTACTGGACCGTTGGTCTGGTGGCTTTAGTTCTGTTTTAATAACAATTTGAACGAGCACACGGTGGCCCAACGCCGCGTGGTGTTCCTGTCTGGATCCTGGAACAGAGTCAAGGTATCTGTGGGAAAACTACCAAAATCCAGGCCATGTGCAGGGCTCTGCTCACGACGGTGCCCTCACCTTGGTTCTCTGTTCTGACAGATGTGTCCTGGCAATGTGCGGTGTTCGCCTTACGGGGGATGGGCTGGGGGCCTAGGGGAGCTTTGTTAACCTTTGCACCACTTCTGGAAAGCCAAAATTATCCTCAAAATGAAAACGTTATTTGGGAAAAAGAAAAAAGAATGAATCACTAGAAAAGCAAGGGGAAAAAGGCCCGGTGTTACCGTCAGGTACATCAGAGGGGACATGCGCTGTCCGTGGACGTCACTGACGGAGCCCTCTCTCTCCCCGCCCCTGTTTTGTTTTACAGCATTGACAAGATCTCTAAAGTCACCTCGCCTGTGCTCGTCATTCATGGTACAGAGGACGAGGTCATCGATTTCTCCCACGGCCTGGCCATGTACGAGCGCTGTCCTCGCGCCGTGGAACCCCTGTGGGTGGAGGGGGCCGGGCACAATGACATAGAGCTTTACGCACAATACCTAGAAAGACTAAAACAGTTCATATCCCACGAACTGCCGAATTCCTGAAGGAGACACCGAGATCTTACCTCACTTACTGTGAACACGCGAGTCCTCTGTTTTGCACATGCTCCAACTGGAAAGCGGTCGTGGCATGACCACCGGGAGGAGGTCCCCGCCTCTCGGGTTCCCGGTCACAGGCCCGAGCAAGCCCCCCGTCTTCTGTCCCTCGAGGTCGTTCCACTCCTCACAGCACGCAGTGCCCAACGGTGGTGACACCCAGCGTCATTGCCTGGTGGGAATGGGGATGAGAGCTAGATGCAGGTGCGGTCAGTTTGCCCCGTGCTGTGTAGACGATGCTCGCCTCCATTGCCCAGCCGTACCCACGGGTGACCGTCCATTCCCACAGGACTCCGCCCTCTGTGTTCTCAGTACTTGATACACACCTCTCTTTCAGCCTCTGGATTCGTGGGCTCGGTCCCCTGTGGAGCCGTGACCGTGTAACCGGAACACTAGGGCGGCGAAAATTCCTTTGTTAAGTTTTGTGACCATGCCGATCTCCCCACCCCAACCCCCCAAAATCAACAGAAGGGTAATGGACTGAAACTATCATGAACAGCTTCATCAACTGGAACCAATATAAATATGACTGGGATATTCTTAAAAGGAAACTGGGTTTTTTTTAAGTGTAAATTTATTACTAGCCAACAGAGTTTTAATATTTTGATTGTCTGGTTGGTGTAACGAGGAGCCTACCCGACTTTCCTTCTGTGAAGTCCTCCTTGTGGGCTTTTTTAAAGTACTGTACATATTTGCAATCCCATTGTGCATAAATTCTTAATGGTACTTTTCTTTTGTCAGGCTACAATAATGAACTGCGGATCCCTCGTTTGTAATGTAAATGATTGAATACATTTTGTTAATATGTTTTTATTCCTATGTTTTGCTATTCAGAAAAATTTTATAACATTTCCAAGACAAAAAAAAATTACGAGTTTATGCTTTGAAGAATTTATGTAATGAAAATTTCACTAAATGGATCTTTTTAGTTTAAGAGTTCTTTGGGTTTTGACACTGGAGTTGCTCCGAGTAACCATTGCTACACTACTCATCTTGGGCGGGGGTCTGGGGTTGGGGGGTTCTTTGGTTTGATTTGAATATTTCTTTTCAAATTTAAAAGCCTTAAATGTACTGTAAGCCTCAGACTGTTGTACAGCTGGATTGCGGTGGATTGCAAGTTTGTGGGCTGTGCTTTGGTGTGGCACAGCGGTCGGTCATGGAATAAAGGATGCATGGACCAGAACGCGGGGCCTCCTCCTGTGGTCTTTCCTTCCATCGCTCTGTCCGGGCAAGTAGTGCATGAGAAAATGCTTCACGTGGGTTGAAGAAGAAACCCTTGGGGCTTACAGACTGTTCTGCCTCGCTCAAGATGTACACCTTTGTTCTGTGAGAGACCCAAGGCTATGTTTGGGAGAAGCCAGGGAGGCAGAGGAGGAGGAAGGGAGGGAAGGAGAAAAAGAAGAAGAGAAAAAGTTTTAAGAGGGGCACTTGGGTGGCTCAGGTCATGTCATGATCCAGGGTCCTGGGATGGAGCCCCGCATCAGGCTCCCTGCTCTGTGGGAAGCCTGCTTCTCCCTTTCCCATTTCCCTTGCCTGTGTTCCCTCTCTTGCTGTGTCCCTCTCTATGCCGAATACATAAGTAAGATAAAATAAAAAAGAACACCTGATTTAATGAGAGCTATACCATGTTTATGGATAAGGAGGCTCATTTTTAATCCTTCCAGAAAAGAGCTATAGGGTTAATAGGATCCCAGTACAAATCCCAACAGGATTCTTCAGGAAGCCTGATACGGTGAGCCTCAAGTTTACATGGGAGAACAAAGGGCCGAGAATAGCCAGGGCACTTGAAAATGACGGAGCAATGTGTTTTACCAGCGAGAGACAGTTGCAGGTAAGAAACCTCAAGACTGTGAAGCCTCATTCCCTTGGGATTCTGGAGTCTAGAAAGCCTCCCCAGGCTCCTGCTTTGGCTCAGGGCCACCCCAGTATGCGCTGCTTCAGTATTCTGTATTTGCTGACATCGTTGGTATCATTATTGCTCGAAACCACAGCAGAATGAATTTACAGATTTGATTCATTCGTGGTAAAAAACATAGCCTAATCTTGTGACACACTGCAGGGAACGTTATCAACCACATGACAGATAATTAGACACGTGTGTAATGGTCAACGGACGAGGGAGTCTAAGCACAGGTCACAGAGACGTCATAAGGGGTGTTGTCTGTGATAATTGCGTGTATTTCAGAAATCAAATAATCAAATGAATATATCTAATAAGTACACATTAAGAGTCCTTGTTCAGTGGAATGCCATGTCAGTTGCAAAGTTGGCATCGGCATTTATTTGTGGAGATAATGGCCCATAATCACTCCTCGATTTTTACTGGCTAAATGGATTTGAGTAGCCAAATGCCATTTGAAGTTGTAAGTCGGTATAACCACGTGAAGGCGAGAACACCGATGGGTGGTCAAGGTGTGGATAAACAGGTGCTTTAAAAATATGCCGTCGGTGGGGCACCTGGGTGGCTCAGTGGGTTAAAGCCTCTGCCTTCGGCTCAGGTCGTCATCCCAGGGTCCTGGGATCGAGCCCCGCATCGGGCTCTCTGCTGGGCAGGGAGCCTGAGTCCCCCCGCCTCCACCCCCTGCCTCTCTGCCTGCCTCTCTGCCTACTTGTGATTTCTGTCAAGTAAATGAATAAAATATTTAAAAAAATATGCCGTCGACCCATCGAGTTAGCCACAAACATCCTGAAGTATACTTTGTACCGAGAGTCTAATCTAACCATTCAGCTGCGAGGAATTTATCCTTAGGAGGTAATGCAGAGGATGAGACGGGTTTGTAGGGGTAATCGCAGCGACTGTGTCAGAGGGAAACCCGCCACCAGTCTCGGCGTCCAGCACCCGCGGTTTGCCTATCCTTACATTCAAGTGCGCCACTCCGTCCCCATCATCAAGGATGCGCGTGGCGCTGGTGGTGACCAGTTTTATCATACACAGCACATCTTGACCGCAGGTGGACTGGTTCCCAAGTCCTTCGGGTGGTGTGGCTCCTCCCTTCACCCCTACCCCTCCGGACGCTCACAGCTGGGCAGAGAGCTGGAGGCACACACAGGTCTGCAGACGCCCATCTCTGCTGGGCGTTAGGTGTGTCTCAGTAGGTCAAGGTCCTTTGCTGCTATCATGGGTCCCGGAACCCCGTTGGGCAGCATGCGCTCACTCCTGAGAGAATGCTGCTTTGACCGGAGGGGACAGCCATCCCGGGTCATCTCATCCCCTCATGTGTAAGGCTTACGAAGCCAATAGCGGGAATTCCTATGAATAGCACACCCCACGCCATCCGGCTCCTGTGCCATCTCTTCCCCGAGGCCTCGTCCACCAGGGTTTCCACAGAGAAGACAGCTGTTCTACAGGAGCTGGCCCAGCTAGGTATGTTTCGTGGTGGAGGGCCCGGGCGTGGCCCTACAGCAAAGAGCCCTTGTCCCTAGTCCTCACCAACTGCAGAGGGGGATGTAGGTGACAAGCAGTCTACCCTTTTACCCAGTTTTCAGTGTGCAGCCCAGTGGCATGAAGCTTATTGCACTGTGCAGCCATCACTCTGTCCATCTCCGGGACTTTGCCATCATCCCCTACTGAAACCCTGTCCCTCCAGACGCTAGCTCCCCATCCCCCTCCCCCAGACCTGGCAGCCCCCATTCCTCTTCCTGTCTCCTTGAATTCGACTACCGTAAGTCCCTCACAAAGAAGCAATCAAATCATACACAAGGACCAGAGTATGTGTCCTTTGGTGCCTAGCTAAACTCAGGTCCCATGAGGTCGGCAAGGTTGATCTGTGCGGAAACATTTTATCCCTTTTCAAGGCTGAATAGTGTTTGTTTGCAGGCATATATGCTACATTGTTTCATTCATTCCCTCATCTGCTGATGGACACTTGGGTGGTGTGTTGTACCCTTTGGCTAGAGTGAACAGTGCTGCTGGGGGCGCAGGGGACAAGTGTCTGTAGGAGACCCCGCTTCTAGTCCTTTCAGGCAAGCACCCAGAAGGGGGATTGCTGGATCTCGAGGTAACTGTTTGATATTTGGAGGAAACACCATACTTGATCTGCATTTCTGTTAGCAGGAATCTTGGGGTCTGTGGCCCCTTTGAAACTGCAGGGCATACTTTGGAAGTTTTTACTTATGGGTATTTTTCAGGAGAGAGGAAGGTGCACGGTTTCAGCAGCCTCTCCAAAGTCCAGGGATTCGGAAAGATGAAAACCCCTGAGCTACACAGTAGCCACAGGTTCTTTTAAAACCAGGGTTTTCTACTCCTGAGAACTGAGTGTGGGTTTGGGAGAGACCAAGGAGCTTGGATTTACCTGCAGGTGGGCCCCGGTGGGGCGTGGTTGGGGGAGCTCTCTCTCTGCGGGGGTGGGGGTCCTGGCAGGAACGGGCTGGAGCGGAAGCCTTCGCAGGCCCAGACAGCAGGGTGATCCCTGAGAAGAGCCCTGGGCGCGGAGTCCGGGTGCCACGGCAACTGCATGACCTGGGACGACAACTCACATGCAGGTAAATCACAGGCACTGAACCTGCCGTCACACCTCCCACCCAGTCGCAGGAGGATGGGGTGAGCTTCTGGGGGTAGAAATGCTTGGCAGGAGGTAACGGGCGCTTGGACCCGCTCATTAGAGGCAGGGCCGGGGTCTGGGTTTAGAACACAACAGAGCACGCTTGCTGAGCAACGGGTGGAGACAGTCCGTCTAGCCTGCCTGAGCCCTCACCGAACGGCGGCTTAATCAGTACCCTCTGCTCGGTGATTCACCGTCTGGCTGGCCCCAGCTTGCTTACTCTCTGCGCTGGCTGGCTCCGTCTTGGTATGCGTGGACGCCAGCCCAGGGGCTCACAGGCAGGCTCACAAACGGTCTCTCCGAATTCCCCACACGCTTCCCTTTTCTGGGCCTCCAGATGTCCCTCAGTGCTGTTTAGTCCATCCAGAACTTTCTGAGCTGGGGCCTGGAGTGGAAGAGACGGGGAAGGGGCAGAGAGGGGATGCTGCTCTGCAAGGGCAGAGAGACCAGCTTGGAGGACAGCAGCCCAGGATGTCCGGGGTGGGGTAAGTGGTGTTGAAGATTAGGGATCGCAGAGGAACTTCCGCCAAAGACGCCCTCTTAAAACATTTTTAAAACTTTATCCCAAACAGTGGGTAAAACATATTTTCTTTTCTTTTTTTTCTTTTCTTTTCCCTTTCCTTTCTCTTTCTTTCTCTCTCTTTCTTTCCTTCTTTCCTTCTTTCTTTCTTTCTTTTTAAGATTTTATGTTTTTGAGAGGGAGAGCACAAAGAGGGAAGCAGCAGCAGATGGAGAAGCAGATTTCCTCGCTGAGCAGCGACCTCTTATGGGGGACTTGATCCTGCGACCCTGGGATCTTGATCTGAGCCGATTAACTGACTGAGTCACCCAGGTGTCCCAAAACATATTTTCATAACTTAAGGGGACAATGACTTAATACATAATTTAATACAGGGGCAGTGGACAGCCGCATTACTATTGAACCTAAGAGTAGACTGTTAGCGGGTCGTAGAAAACCACTCTCCCCTCCAATCTCATGGCCTTTCCTCCTGCACCTGTAGCCGAACCACAGTCCCGAGCTTCCAGTTGGTCATTCCGGGCTTTCCTTTGGAGAGGGAATGTGTGTGTGTGTGCGCGCGTGCGCGTGTGCACACACACACGCGATCTGGGATGGGGGATATTTAGGTTATCTTCCAGATTTTGCTGTTAAACATTTTGGGGGGTGCCTGGGTGGCTCAGTCAGTTAAGCGTCTGCCTTCGGCTCAGGTCATGATCTCAGGGTCCTGGGATCGAGCCCCGCATTGGGCTCCCTGCTTAGCGGGGAGCCTGCTTCTCCCTCTCCCTCTGCGGCTCCCCCTGCCTGTGCTGTTCTCCCCACCCGAAACCAAAAACCCACATATTTTTGCACTTCTTCTGATAGGAGAGATTTCCGGTTCCTGCTTCTTAGCCGTGGTTGCACGTTGGCATTAGCTGGGAGGCTCATTAAAGCGACCTCTGTGCCCAACGTGGGGCTTGAATGCGTCGCCCCGAGATCAAGCTGGGAGCCCCAGGGAGAGGCTGGTTTTACAATGCTGATGCAGGGGTGCCACCCCTAGGGATTCCAATCTAGCTGTCTGGGGGGCAGCCTGGGCCCCTGGGAGCTTCCAGTGGGCAAGTCCCTGAAGATTTCAACTCGGTCGGTCCATGGTGGGTCCAGGGGTGT